ACTATCTGGCTGACTGATTGGAAGAGATCCATATTTGTGCCCATTCCAAAGAGAGGTGACCCAACGGAATGCGGAAATCATCAGACAATCTCTTTGATATCCCATACTAGTAAAGTTTTGCTAAAGGTGATACAGAAATGGCTGCAAGCATACATTGACAGAGAACTCCAGAAGTTCAAGACAGATTCAGAAGAGGCTGTGGAACTAGGGATATCATTGCTGATGTCTGATGGATCTTGGCTGAAAGCAAAGAATAGCAGAAAGATGTTTACCTGTGCTTTGTTTATTATTCAAAGGCTTTTGATTGTGTGGATCATGAAAAGCTATGGACAACATTGCAAAGTATGAGTATTCCGGAACACTTAATTGTACTCATGAGGAATCCGTACATGGACCAAGACGCAGTTATTTGAACAGAACATGGGAACACTGAATGATTTAAAATTAAGAAAGATGTGCTACCTTTTTGAAGGAGCTCTGGTAGCGTAGTGGTTACAAATCTGGCTGTGAACTGCAAGGTCAGCAATTCAAAACTACCAGTTGGTCCACGGGAGAATGATGAGGCTTTCTGCTCCCGTAAAGATTTACAGCCTTGGAAACCCTGTACAGGGTTGCTAGGAGTCGGAACCGACTCCACAGCACACAACAACAACATTGTAGAATTATGGTGAGGATCCATTAACTAATTCAATAAGCCACGAATATTTTTTAAAATCATCGTTTTAGACACCAGGTTAAAAGAGATAACTAAGACTGCATACTATTGTTACGGAGCCTACATTCTAGTGGAGAAAAACAAGTATACATGAAGCTTCAGTGTAATGATGAGTACTTTGGTAGTACTCATACATGGTGGTGGTTGATGTTAAGTGCCACTGAGCCAGTTCTGACACATATCAACTCTTTCTGAGGTTTCTGAGGATCGGCTGGTGGATCTGAACCGCCACCTTGCAGTTCAAATTGACCTTGAAGTCCAGTGTTTATCCTACAGCACCACACCACAGAAAGCGTTTGGGAATGGATGTGCCCCCTTAAACAGGGTGGTCAGGAAACACATCTCAGAGGAGTGACATTTGAATTACAAACTTCCAAGAAGGAGATAATATGTGCAAATACTTAGGAAATCAGTACATATCAGCTAATTATCTTTCTAAATATTAATATATTTCCAACAGATGTTAAAATGTAACTCTAACTGCCTCACTTTGCACAATGAAACAAAATCAGTTATATTTAAACTCCAAAACACATATTTCCATCTGAACTAATAAGTAAGCCCTTAGCCCCATTCCTGCATCTGTAAGCTGCCAAGAAATAGAGAAACCACTGCTTATACATCTTCTATTGTCCTCAAAATTTTATCCTCAGGCTTGAACTTTTCACAAGTCACCACATCATGAACTTAAACAAGAATGTCTTTTCTTACTGTTGCTACTTTAAAGTCTCCCTGAATCATATTTTTTACAAGTCACCTCATCATGAACTTGAGTAGCAATGTCTTTTCTTACTGGTTGCTAGTTTAATTTTTTTTTTTTTTAAAGTTTTTATAGTGGATTGAGTGAAAGTTTACAGGGTAGATCATCAGTTCAAAAAATCATACACAATTGTTTCATTACAATGATTATAATCCCCTCCATGTACCATTAGTTAACAGTATTTCTCTTTATTCACTTTCGCTCTTTAAAAAAAAACTCAGGCATATATAATAATTTACACCACCAAAGGGCACATTCTCCAAGTCTGCCTCCTAGCCACCAGCTCTTAGTCCTTCTCGTCCCATGAATCTGGAGTCCTCAACTGCCCCCTCTCACCAATTTAATTTTTTTTTTCTTATTATGTCTATTTAAGTAAACACATAACAATACAGTTCCTGTCTATCCTTTAGAATTAGTAAAACCATCCTGGACATCAGTAATATTAGGGGGCAAGGGCAGGACAGATACATTACTAAGGGACCTAGGGAATGAAAACCTCATTATTGGAAAGCTGATGTCACTGGTAAATTATGTGTAACATAACTTTCCTCAGAATTTTGGATATGGATTGGCACAGTAACAGCAACAGTGGGCTCAAGCTTAGCAGCAATTGTGAGGATGGCACAGGACCGGGCAGTGTTTCATTCTGTTGTACATTGGGTTGCTATGAGTCAGAAGCGACTTGACAACACTTAACAGTAACAATAAGTGGGTGAAAAGGATATTTTGATAGAACACTTAGGGTATGGATTGAGATCCCTAAGACGCAACATTGTTCTACCTTCAAAGGAGAAGGGTCCAATTACTAGCCTCTGTTATATATATTTCCCCCCCTAATTTGGATCTGCTATTTGGGACAGAAATCATTGTTCTGTACAATAAAGAAGTGTCTAGGTAATGCCATCCAGGGTTTCTCTTCTCCACCACATGGCAACTCCTCTAAATAAGTGTTAAACAAATATTTTTAAATGTTGATTTTAAAGATGCCAAGCAATTGGGGAGCCTGGGTGCCAACTTGTCTCAGTCAAGCCCCACTTCCAGATGTAAACTACAGCCATGGATGCACTGGGGTCAGAAAGACTCCTTGGAAATCACAGGGGTTAAGAGCAAGGTCTTCAGATCTACAAAGAGAACAGAGTAGCAAGCATTTCTTTGAAAGCTTTGGGTTGGTAAATTCTCTGAAAGAAAGCATTTTATCCTTACAAAAATATTAATACTTTTAGGTCACTGGGGGGTGCCCTTTCAAAAGATGAGCAGCATATTACTACCTAGACTCAGCCAATAGTTTTATTCCAGGAGGATAAAAAGAGTCTTGGTGTGACACTGTGGGTTAATGTGCTGCACTGCAAGAGAAGTCAATTTGAACCACAAGGTCGGCCGTTCAAGCTCCCCAGCTGCTGGTTGGAAATGCTTTGCAGGGTTGCTATTGGCTATACAGGGTTGCTATAGGTCAGAACTGAGTCAATGGCATTAAACATAACATAATTATGGAGTTAAGGCAGCCCTGGTGGTGGAGTGGATTGTGAGCTGGGTTGCTAACCTCAAGGTCAGCAGTTCGAATCTACCAGCCACTCCGTGAGAGAAAGATGAGGCTTTTTGTTCCCATAAAGATTTTGTTGTTAAGTGCCATTGAATTGGTTCTGACTCACAGCTATCATGTATAGGGTTTCCAAGGAATGGCTGGTGAGTTTCAACCACCAACCTTACGGTCCAGTCCTACAGCACCACACCAGGACTCATATTTACAGCCTCCAAAACCCTATACAGGGTTGTTATGAGTCGGAACAGACTTGTCGGTACACACCCACCCACCATTAGAGAGCTGGGGAAAAGAAGATGATATCACTTCATAGACAATCATTTTCATAGATTATCTCATTTCTGTCTCACATTGATCCAATAAGGTAGATATTATACATTTGCATTTACAAATTAGGAAACTGAGACCTGGAAAGGTCAAATAATTCATCAGGTCATGAAATAGTTAAATAATTTGCCCAATTTGCACAACCAGCTTTGGCAGAGTTGTGATACAAATTGAGGTGTGACTGATTCCAAGGCCTGGGTTCCTTCCTGACACCAGGCTGATGGATGGTGGTTATCTGGATGCAGTTTATACTTACATCATCACTTTAGCTTCTTCAATAAAGTCCTCTTCTGACATGGAGCCTTCACTGATGGCCTTGATTGCTACCTGGATGTGTGCTCGCCATTGACCTAAATGGACCACCCCAAACTGACCGCTTCCAATCTCCTTTACGAAAGCCAACTCACACGGATCGATTTCCCACTTTTCTGGAAAAGGAAGAAGTTACAAATAGGAAAAAGAATATTAAAATTTTAGAGCTGAAAAAAAGATTTAAGAATGTCCCAGACCTTATTTTAAAGAGAAGTTTAGAAATCTACAAATGAGTTACAAGATCAGTTGTTATGTTGTTATGTGCTATCGAGTCGGTTCCGACCCATAGCGACCCCTGTACAGGGTTTCCGAGGGTGTAAATCTTTACGGGAGTAGAAAGCCTGATCTTTCTCCGCGGAGCAGCTGGTAGTTTCAAACCGCTGACCTTAAGGTTCGCAGCCCGATTCGTAACCACTACGCTACCAGAGCTCAGTAGCCATTCTAGATACTCTACCATTACAATGGAAGTTCAAGCTCACCAGCCTCTCCTCCGAAACCCTATACAGGGTCACTATAGGTCAGAACCGACTCAGTGGCACTTAACAACAAGAACAAGTAATATAATCCAAGAATATGAATCTGCAAGTTTAAAAACACAACTTTATGTAGTTTGCAAGGAACGTATCATAAAGTATGGCTATGAAATCATGCTTTCTTTTTCCAGAGGGACCCAGAGTGGAATACTGTCTGTGCCTTTTACCAAATCTACTAAAACTAGACCTGAGATCAAAATACTTATGTCTGAGTAGGTGTTAGTACTGCAGAGCAAAACTATGAAATTCGTAATGTCCCTCCCTCCCTCATTTCAGTTCCTTTTGCTCCTCTCCTTTCAGGTTCTCTGATCCTTAAGGAGAAATCTAA